AGAGAGAGAGAGAGAGAGAGAGAGAGAGAGAGAGAGAGAGAGAGAGAAAAGCTTCCAAATGAACTACAAGATCATTGATTTGGGTAGTATATTTGGACAGTGAGGTCTGTGGATCTACCTATCTCTGATTCCCCAATGCTGAGATTGAAGACCTCCAGTACTCTTTATTTGGCTTTTTACATGGAACTAGGGATGCGAAATTCAGGTTATCAAGTTGTGTATCAAACGCTTTAGCAATTGAGTCATCCACCCTGTCTAGTAACAATTCATAGGAGTTGTAAAATTTTGAATGTGAAATATATAAAACTATAATTCTTCTGGAAGTTAACATAGATGAATATTTGTATACAGTTTAGTTGGATTGATTTTGCTGTTTTGTGACAGGGTCTTGCTATATAGCTGTAACAAGCATGGAACTCCCAAGTTGATGCTGAACTAGTAGGATTCTGCCTGTCTTTGTCTCCCAAGTGTGGTAATAAAGGTAGGAACCAAATGTCTAGTCTTTTTTTTTTGATACACAAAAAAGTATTTTTAAATGGACTTATGAATTAGTTAAAAAAACTTCATGATATTAAAATTTATAACTTCTTTTAATCAAAACAAATCATGAAAGGATAGAATATGTTAGATAAAAACTGTGATTTAATAGGATCTACATGTTTTTCACTAATTTGCTTCTTCCTATAACACATATAAATACATTTAAAAATTATATAAGTCCTACAACCTATAATGAAAATCTAAAACAGACTCATTGAAAGAATTTGAAAAGAGGGTATGTCCATTTGTAAAACTGGAAGAATTATTTCATCAAACTGCTCTTTGATGAGTCTCTATGAAAACTTAACATATGCATAATTTTTGAAGCAAAATTTCTACTAATGAGTACATAGCTAACATATATGTGTATATATTTGTATTCAAAGAATATGAACAACTTCCCTAAAACGATCTTCCCTGATATCTAGAATCTCAGGGGTAGGGAGCAACAATGGCTATTAACAGAGAATGGAACCAAAGCATAATAAGCTTCTCTAAAGAAATTTGAATAGAGTATTATAGATAATTTAAAGAGTCCCAAATGATATTATGTAAAGTAACATGGTACAATTTCACATGCTCTACAATGCTAAACAGAATATTAAAATTAAAAAAGCCACATGAGATACTATACTGTATAAGTCAATTGATATAAATTTCAAAATAAATTGAAGTAAATTAAAATGGTGGAACGTGAAGTGGTGATAGTGCTCGTTCTAGGCCACAGAGGGCTTAGGTAGTAGAAAATAAATTGGCTTAAACTGTCAGTTCAGCCACCTGCACACGTATGATTTGAAATTGTTGCAGTCTGCCAATTTTCCTTTTTATTTCAGACTTATTTTACAAAAGCACTGGTAGATATGCACAGAGAAGGCAATCCACAACTGTATTTAAAAGGAAATGACTGAAATACTAGTGTGTAAAGCACAGATTCTTAAATTCCAAAATGCAATCCACAGTGTTCTTCTGCTTGCAATCATACAAAACAAGACTTTAAATGAGAAGGTTTATCTGTGAAGTGACAATAGTGATGAATTTTTTCTTGGGAGGTATTATTTTTAGTCATTATTGGGTTACTGGATCATTTTGGATGCATTGACAGAGTATGAAAGGAATAAATTGCTGAGGGCTTTGCACTTAATCTGCTGTGCTTGAGTTAGAGTTTTACAAGGTTATCATTTTGAGAACCATCTCAAAAGACTAGTTTGCATAATCTCTGATTTAGTGATGTGTACACCAATCCCTTAGCATAAAAATTACAAACATTAACTACCTTGATTGGAGAAGGACAGTGACTGTGTCAAACATAAAAATGTATAAAGCATTATTAATTGTTATAGATGTGTTAATTTCAAAGAGATTCATAACTAAATATCAGATATTAAGTAAGTTAAACATAATATTTTTATTTATATGAAGGCTATATCTTGAAGGTCAAAATGATTTGGGGTTTACCTTTTGATGCTTCTTTCCTTGTCTTACTGATGGCCATGTTCGTTCTCTGTCTTTATCTTTTGTTCCAATTCAAAAATATTTATATCCTGATTCTATCTATTTATGAGGACATCATTTATATTGAATTAGAGCCCACAGCAGTATTTTCATAAATCAGTAGTTACTTCAACAAATTCTCTGATATCAAATACAGTTTTTTTTTCTTTGTACTATGTGTTAAGACTTCAACTCCAAATTTTTGGTGATGATTTTTTCTTCCTACAAAGGTGTGTGTCTGTGTGTATCTACATGTGAGTGTGTCCAAGTATGTGTGTTTGCATTTAATACAAAAAATCTCAAATATTTAAAATTAATTTTAATATTGGTAAGTGGTATTTATGTCCAGAGAAGCAAAAAACCAATCATCATTATATGAAAAAGGAAGTGACAGCAACTTAAATGAGCATATACAATTGATAGCTAATCCATTAATTCTAAAGACTGAACTTTTTTCCCTTCTGATTATCCACAAATTTGAACCTTTACAATCATTGTGATTACATTTAGAGAGTGAAAAATTTCAAAACAAGTAACTAAGATTTAATACAGCTATAAAATATTGTCTAAGTCCCATAATACTGGTGTACTTTGAAGAGAAGCCAAAGAGAAGCAGACAAAAAAAAAAAGAAAAGACAAAAAAAGAAAATATCATCATGCAAGAACATAGCAAAACATGAACATCTGCAAGGCAAAGATGGCCATAGGAGGGTTACGTCCCTTAAAATTTTCTGGCTTAATTAATGTATACATTTAATTTAAACATTATACATGTGTAAAGTATTTTAAAAATTTATATTGGTTTTTGTGAATTTCACATCAGGCACCCCATTCCCACTCATATACTACTTCCCATGTAACTACCCTCCACTCTTTCAACCTCACCCACAAGAAAGAAAAGAAGTAAAAATGTATCTCTTTGTGGAAACTAGTATATTACAGTGTGTACCAGAGTGTACCCATTTGTCCACACATCTTTCCCTGCAAATGTTGCAGTGATTCCTGGGTATGATAAAAGTCCTCTGGCTTCTGCTGTTGCATCAATACTGGAACTTCACTGGAGCTCCTCTAAAATATTCTGTTGTTGCCCTGTGTCATAGAGATTCTGGAGCTTTGCCTCCATAAGACTGGCTCCATTCATGCACTCCAAAAGTTCATCAATGATGTATATGTTGGAGTAGGCCAATTTACAGCCCTGAATCTGGGTCTGCAATGTATCTGAGCTAGTAATACCTCTGGTTCACCCACTCTCATGCACTTGACGGCAGATCATCGTGAATCCTGTCAACCATGGCCAGCTCTACCCTGCTGCCCAGGCAAGGTGCAAGGGCTACCTTCTAGCGTTGCAGCTGGTGAAGGAAAGTGTCAGTTATCCCACTCTCATGTCCCCAGAATCAGCTCTCCTGCCTGCCATAGATGGTTAAAGATAAGAGAGGGGAGAAAAATATTTCTTCTTTTTCCCTACCTCCATGCAGCAGACTAGAGGAGACACATAGACCTTAGAGATGGCTAATCAGCAATCCCACATCTAGGGTCAGCTCTACTGTACTACCCAGGTGAGGTGCCAGGGCCATTATCTCCTGAGTTCTCCAGTATGTGAGAGACAGGACCATCTCTCCTGCTCTCATGAACCCAGGGTCATCTCTCTTGCCTGCCACAAATGATGAGGGGCTAGATAGGAGCAGGGTATTTTTCCAGTCATAGAAGAAAAGTGGTAAGGCCAGCTTTCCCATGGACTTATCCTTGAGACAAGCTCACCTGCAACTCCTGCAATGTGTGGCATACTCTCCTGAGTACTGCACCAGGCTAAGGTTGAGTACAGTTCTTCAGTTTTCATACCTCCAAGGCCAGATCACCTACAATGCCTAGATGAGGGGTAGGAACAGTTCTGTACAGCCCTAACTTCAACATGTCCCTGGGCATACCACAGGCTAGAGATGTCTTCCCAAACTTTGTTGGTAAAATACCCCCTGCCACTGCAGAGCTACAGGCCCAAAGGTGGTCTTCAGGGGCAGCACAGGCCAGGACCCTACCATGATCTCAGATGGAATAACTTTCTATTTATATCAGGTTGTTCCTCATTACTTTCCACTTTTCAGTTCTACCTCTTTGCATTGTTCCTACATTCTTCTTTTTCTGTGTTCCTCCATTTCTATACCACTTATTTGTCGCTTTTTATGGAGTCTGTGATCTCTGAGTGTCTGGGTTTATCTCAGGAGTTATTTCAGGAGTGCTGTGCCTCACTTGTGCATTATAGCACTGGGCAGGTGTCATCTGCCCAGTGTGATCTGCTCCTTAAAACCTGCAATGTACCAAATTGAGTCTTCTCAGACTAGCTCCCTGTCTAAACCCTGTGGCACTGGTCTGTTAGTTGACACAGTTCTCTCCTTGTGCAGCCCATCATAGTGGCCACTTATGAGGTTCATCTGTCTTGGGCTCCCTCCTCTGGTGGTAGGGCTTCTTGTAGTCTTACCCTTGCTTCCTGTCCTGGGAGCCCATCCGATCCTGCCTAGTGCCACACTGGGGATACTTTAAAGCTCACTTCTTTCAGGGAATGTTAGGCTACAAATGCAGATGTTTGTAGGTCAGAACACTGAACACAGACACAAACTCATCTCTGTTGCTACCAGTTGATGCATATGTGATACAACAGCCACACCTGCAATGCCTCCAGTGGCAGGGAGTTAAATCTATGGAACTCCTGGAAGAAAGGAAGCATAGAGACAATGCCTGCACTAAGAGATGAAAGAAAAGAACACCATCTATTCCTTTTATTTCTGTCCAGCCTAGGGGTGATATCACTTGCATTCAGGGCATATATTTTTGTATTAGATAATACTCTCATTGAATGTCCTCAAAAAACAAAGGTGTGATTTTCTCATCTGGTGGGCACAGCCCAATCCAATCTAATAGAGAATAAAAATTCTTCAGATCAAATGTATGAATTATGGAGTAACATATATTCAGACTGCAGCACTGGACATGGCCAGACACAGCATTCACATTCATCTACAGGTTAGAACCAAGTGAGTTTTGATGCTTTTCTCCAAGAAATCTCCATAAATTCCAAATCTAGCCAAAGTTCCACATTCAATGACCCAGACTAGTGGCCACACTTGAGTACACTACAAGCCATATTACACTAATGTGGAATGGATAAATCTCACAAGGTCCCAACCCTAGACAAAGTAATGTAGGAAACAAGAAATTTGAGAGTGGGAGAAAAAGCGTTTTTAGGAGATATCACACCAATTATTTATTCAATAGAAAATGGTAATATATATATGTGTGTGTGTGTGTGTGTGTGTGTGTGTGTGACATTATATAGACTGGAGATGTTGTATTTATGTATTTATGGATAAATACATATGTCTATCTATCAACAATTAAAGAAACGAATAAGGTCAGGTACATTGGAGTGTTAGGAGGTAGGACAGAAAACAGGTGAGTGATGTAATTATATTATAATTTCAAACAAAATTATTCTAAAATTTTCATTGCTATGTTCTTATGCCACTCCCATTGAATCAATACTATTACTTAAATATATGCAGTTTTCTTTATAAAATGTTTACCTATTATTTGCAAATTTTGTGTTTGTATTCAATTTATCTTGATTATATAAACACTCTCTAAAAAATTTTCTTAGGAACTTCCCCAACACAACTCCTTCCCTGCTATTTGTTTTCTTTTTTCTGTTGTTTTTTTTTTTTTATTAGTAGTGTATATTGTGTCCAATCAGTCCTTGCTACATGTGCATGGTATTGGAATTATCAACTGGGTTATGGAACCCTAAAGTGACTCATCTTCAGCAGCAATGAACTTGCAATTATGACTTAAAAATGAATGGGATGTTGGGATTCTTTCCCTTCATCATACTTGAATTTAACTGGCTTGATATTCTGCAGGGACTGATCATATAATCACAGCTTTTGTGGATTTATGGGTGCAACAGTAATCTAAAGTCAAGAGAACAACATATTACAGCAATCTTCCCCTTCTCCAGTTCTTACACAATTCTGTCCCTTGTTCCTCAATTTTCTTCATGCCATATATACATGAATGTTCTATTTATAGCTGAATTTTCAGCACCTTGAATGTTAATAATGAGTTTCCGTATTAAACACTAACCGCTACAGAAAATTTTTCTAACCAAGTCTAAAAGCAGCACAGATCTATGGACTTAAATATAAATATTTACAAAAGGGAACTTGACAATAGGAATATTTAGTTAAACAGCATCAGTAGGTTCCACCTTTGGGAATATGATTTCTGACCCATGGACTTTGGCCATGCTTATAGTATGAGGCACAAATTGCCTCTTATAGAGAAAGCTTTTTTCTATCAAAAGAGAAATTATTTAGCTTCCCAAATATTCTTGCCACTATTGCACCAGTAAACATATCATACCTGGTAGATGAACCTACATAGAAGCTATAGTACTGAATATGACCACTGATGCCTTTCTTCCACCTGAATCATCCAGTGACCTTTACAATACTCTGAAAGCTAACCAGCAGCTAGAGAGTTCCCTGGCCAGTTAAAGATTTATTTCTGTCTGTCCTGCAGCTAAATTGTGTGGTGCCTTCTTCAACTGAGAGTTAATTTCAAGTTCTGGTGGACACACAGACATAGTGACAATAGCCTATATTCTTTTATATTATTTATTATATTATTTGGAGTACCTTAGTGTCTTCATTTACAAACAACTCCTAGGAAGGTTATGTGTGCTAGCATTAACATTTTCAACAAATATTACTGAGAAAGCTGAATTTACACACGAAAAATGAAATAATCCTTACCTCTCATCCCCCAAAACTAAATTCCAAATGGATCAAGGAAAACAACATAATATTTGATACTCTGAATTTCACAACGACGAAGGTAGGGGATATTCATGAACTCATTGGAACAGAAAGGGACTTTCTGAATGAGACTCAGTTAACACAGGGATTTAAAAAATTAACAAATGGGATCTCATTAAAATAAAAGTTATGAAGCAGAAGACTCTACAATTTAACTGAAGAGGCAGCCTGTAGAATGGAAAAATATTTGCCAGTTATATATCAGACAGAAGACTGGTGCTTAAAATACATATATATCTCAAAACATTAACCATCAAGGAAATTAATACAATTAAAAATTGCATGGTGGAATGGAAGAAAAACTTCTATTTTTTTAAATTAAAAATGGGAGCTCTGACATACCCAGGATCACAGATGACACCTTAACATCTGCTCCAATACCTAGCATAACTGGGATCCTCTGGAACCCAGGGAATGCAGGAACCCCTGCACAGCAAGAGGCACACATTTGTTCCAGTTATCATCTGTGCTCAGAGCAGATCATGGTTTCTGGATCCCACCCACTACTATAACACATAGAGGCAGCCTGAATTCCAGGAGCTCTAACACATCAAGGAATTCAGGATCCCAGGATCACAGAGACAGCTGAACTCTAGGAGTTATAACACAACCAGGATCACCAGAACACAGGATCACAGTCTCACAAGAGGGAAAGGCTCCAGCAAGGCCAGTTAGCTCTACAGACAACCAGATGGTGAGAGGCAAGCAACAGAAATCAATGCTACTTGACAACATCAGACGCCAGTTCTTCTTCCACATCAAGCCCTGGATACCCCAACACACCTGAAAAACAAGATTCAGATCTAAAATCCCATCTGAAGAAGATGACAGAGGACTTTAAGAAGGACATAAACAACTCCCTTAAAGAAATACAGGAAAACACAGGTAAACTAGCAGAAGCTGTTAAACAGCAAACACATAATTCTCTAAAAGAAATACAGGAAACCACAATCAAGCAGATGAAGAAATTGTAAAAACCAAGGATCTAAAAGTGGAAATAGAAACATTGCAGCCAACACAAAGGGAGAGAACCATGGAGATTAAAAAATCTAGAAAAGAGAGCAGGGGTCACACACATATTCATCATCAAACAAACAAATGTTAGATATAGGCGAGAGGATCTCAGGCATAGAAGATACCATAGAAAACATTGACACAACAATCAAAGAAAATAAAAAGCACCAAAAGTTCCTCACTCAAAATATTCTAGAAATCTAGGACAAAATGAAAAGACCAAACCTAATAATAATAGCTATAGAGTAGAGTGACAATTCCCAACTCAAAGGGCCGGTACATATCTTCAACAAAATTATAGAAGAAAACTTCCCTAACCTAAAGAAAGTGATGCCAATAAGCCTACAGGAAGCCTACATAATTCCAAACAGATTGGACTGGAAAAGTAACTCCTCACATCACATAAAAATCAAAACACTAAATGCACAGAAAAATGAAAGAATATTAATAGCTGTGAGGAAAAAAAATCAAGTAACTTATAAAGGCAGACCTATGAGAATTACACCAGACATCTCATCAGAGACACTAAATGCCAGTAGATCCTGGGCAAATGTTACACAGACCCTAAGATAACACAAATGCCAGCCCAGACTACAATACCAAGCAAAACTCTCAAATTTCATAGATGGAGAAGCCAAGATATTCCATGACAAAACTAAATTTAAACAATATCACAAATCCAATCCTACAAATAATAATAGAAGGAAAACTCCAATACAAGTAGAGAAAATACATCCAAGGAAAAGTGAAAAATTAATCTCATAACAAATTAAAACGAAGAGAGCCACACAAACATAATCCCACAAAAAAAAAAAAAAACAACAAAAATAACAGGAAGCAACAATCATTGGTCCTAAATATCTCTCAATATCAATAGACTCAATTTCCCAATAAAAAGACATAGACAAAAAGCCTGGATACATAATAAGGACACAATATTTTGCTGGATACAGGGAACACACCTTAGTGTCAAAGACAAACAGCCACAAAGTAAAAGGCTGGAAAATATTTTCCAAAAATATGGTCCCAAGAAACAAACTGGAGTAATCATTCTAATATCCAATAAATTTGATTTGCAAACAAAAGTTATTTTAAAAAAGATGTGGAAAGACACAGGAAAGTCATCAAAAGAAAAATCTACCAAGATGAGATCTCAATTCTGAGCATCTATGCTCCAAATGCAAGGGCACCTATATTTTAAAGGAAAAATTACTAAAGCTCAACACACATATTGAACATCACACAATAATAGGGGAAAACTTAAACACTATAATCTTACCAGTGGACAGATCTTAGAAAGAGAAAATAGAGACACAGTAAAACTAACAGAAGTTGTTTAGATTTAACAGATATTTGTAGAACATTTCACCCTAAAATAAAATAATTTACCTTCTTATCAGCACCAAAATTATCAGTCTCCAAAATTGACCATATAATCAGACACAAAACAAGCCTCAAATGATACAAGAATATTGAAATAATCTCATGCATCCTATCGGACCACCATGGTTTTCAATAACAACAAAACAACAGAAAGCCCAAATATACATGGAAGCTGAATAGCTCTCTACTCAATCATAACTTGTTCTCAGAAGAAATAAAGAAAGAAATTAAAGACTTTTTAGAAATTAATGAAAATGAAGGTGCAACATACAGAAACTTATGGGACACAATGTAAGCAGTGCCAAGAGGAAAACTCATAGCTCTGAGTGCCTTCATAAAGAAATTGGAGAAAGCATAAACTAGCAGCTTGATAGCACACATGAAAGCTCTAAAACAAAAAGAAGCAAACACACTCAATA